TTTTTTTTTTTTTTTTTCCTTTTTTTTTCTTTTCCGAGATAGGGTCTTGCTGTGTTGCCCAGGCTGGAGTGCAGTGGCATGACCTCAGCTCACTGCACCTCAACTTTCCTGGCTCAAGCAGTCCTCCCACCTTAGCCTCCCAGGAGAATCGCTTGAACCCAGGAGGCTGTGAGTGAGCTGAGAGGTTGCAGTTAGCTGAAATCACGCTATCCCAGGTGGCTGGGACTATAGGTGTGTGCCACCATGCCTGGCCCATATTTTATATATATATATATATTTTTTTTTGTCGAGATGGGGTCTTGCTATGTTGCCTAAACTGGTCTTAACCACCTGGGCTCAACCAATCCTCTTGCCTTGGCTTCCCAAAATGCTGGAATTACATGTGTGAGCCACTGCGCCTGGCCTGGGTGTTCATTTCTGAAGGCTCTGATCACTCAGGAAATTACAAGTGTTTTAGGAGCTCTGTGTCAGGAACCAGACAAAGACCAACTATATGTTGAACAAAGACCATACATATCTTTCTCATTACATGCTGTGTTTTCTGTTTCTCCTCCTCAGGCAACACAGTGCTTCTCCTCATACTGTGCATGCAGCACTCCTTCCCGGAGCCCGGGAGATTGTATCTTGACCTCATTCTGGCCCTCCTGGCCCTGGAACTCATCTGTTCCCTCATATGTCTCCTCATTTACACAGGTGAGAATTACAACGAGGCTGTTCTTGAATGAACCTCGAACTGCTTCCTTTCCTCCCCGTTTAAAGTATAGCCCATTTTCTTAGTGACAAGGAAGTTCTCTGTGTATCTGAGTGGAAACCACATCCAGACATCTTTAATTTCAAACCAACAGGAAGGTACAACCAGCACCAGTGAAACCCTGTTCTTCTAAGATTGTGTCATGAATAAATTTTTGTCAATGCAAGTGAAACTTTTCCATTAAAACAAGACACAAACTTTTTGGGCTGGGAATGGCACCTCAAGCCTGTAATACTAGCACTTTGGGAGGCTGATGCAGGTAGATCACTTGAGCTCTGGAGTTCAAGACCAGCCTGGACAACATGGTGGAACCCCCATCTCCACCCAAAATACAAAAATTAGCCAGGTATGGTGGTGCACGCCTGTGGTCCTAGCCTCTCGGGAGGCTGAAGTGGGAGGATCACTTGAGCCTGGGAGGCAGAGGTTGCAGTGAGCTGAGATCACGTGCCTGCACTCCAGGCTGAGTAAGACTCTGTCTCTTAAAACAACAACAGCAGCAAAAACATTCACAAACTTTTGCTTCACTAAAGGCAGCTGAAATGTCAGATTGGCATTTAAAATTAAAAATTAATTAAGAAATAGGCCAGTCACAGTGGTTCATGTCTGTAATCCTTGCACTTTAGGAGACTGATGTGGGAGGATCTCTTGAGCCCAGGAGTTTCGGACCAGCTTAGGCAACAAAGGGAAACCTAATCTCTATTTTAAAAGATTAGCCAGCTATGGTGGTGCACAGCTGGAGTCCTAGCTACTAGGGAGACTGAGGTGCGAGGATTGCTTGAGCCTGGGAGGTTGACTGCAGTGAGCCACGATCACCCCACTATACTCCAGCCTGGGTGACAGCAAGACTCTCTCATCTCAAAAAAAAAAAGAACAGAAAAGAACAAGAAATGAAAAATAGGGCTGGGCGCGGTGGCTCACACCTGTAATCTCAGCACTTTGGGAGGCCAAGGCAGGTGGATCACAAGGTCAAGAGATCGAGACCATCCTGGTCAACATGGTGAAACCCCATCTCTACTAAAAATACAAAAAATCAGCTGGGCATGATGGCACGTGCCTGTAATCCCAGCTACTCAGGAGGCTGGGGCAGGAGAATTGCCTGAACCCAGGAGGCGGAGGCTGCTGTGAGCCGAGATCACTCCATTGCACTCCAGCCTGGGTAACGAGAGCAAAACTCCGTCTAAAAAAAAAAAAAAAAAAGAAATGAAAAATAAATAAAAATAAGTTAGTAGCTAAATTGTAGATGCAAAAACTGCATTTATGAATCTTAAATTCAGCTGGGTAAATTTTTTTTCTTATTTATCTTGTATATACATAATATATATACATATATACACATATTTTATACACACACACACACACACACACACAAATATATGTATATATATATAACTGAGACAGGGTCTTGCCCAACTGGTCTCCAGCTCCTGAGCTCAAGCAGTCCTCCCCCTCGGCCTCCCAAAGTGCTGGGATTACAAGTGTGAACCACTGTGCCTGGTCCCCAAAATTTTTTAAAGTTAAAAGGAAGCGAAAACAAAACTGTATTTAGCCCAAACTTACAGGGTGAAAAAATCTGTAAATAGTGACCAAGCCCACCTGTCTTTTTAGTATTTTGATATTCTAGCATGTGTGCTTTCCTTGGCTTATTATGGGAAGGATAAAGGGAAAATTCTTGTTCCATGTGATTGTTTTGGTGTTATTGCCTGACCTGTGATCTGAAAAATGCCTAATCCATTCAATTTAACTTACTTTAAGGGCCGGTTGTGGTAGCTCACACTTGTAATCCCAGTGCTTTGGGAGACCAAGGTGGGTTAGGAGTTTGAGACCAGCCTGGGCAACTTAGTGAGGCCCTGTCTCTACAGCATGTTTTTTTAATTAGCCAGTTGTGGTGGTACACACCTGTAGTCTCAGTTACTTGGGAATCTGAGGCAGGAGGATTGTGTTAACCCTGGGAATTCAAGGTTACAGTGAGCCATGATCACACCACTGTACTCCAGCCTGGGTGACAGAGTGAGAGCCTGTCTCTAACAACAGCAAATTATTTAAAAACTGCAGAGATGAGTCTGAAAGGTGGACTTTTTTTTTTTTTTGAGATGATGTGCACCCAGGCTGGTGTGCAGTGTCGCCATCTTGGTTCATGGCACCCTCCGTCTCCTGGCTTCAAGTACTCAGCTTCCAGAGTAGCCACGACTACAGGCGTGTGCCACCACACCCAGCTAATTTATTGTATTTTTAGTAGAGATGGAGTTTCATCATGTTGGCTAGGCTGGTCTCAAATTCCTGACCTCAGGTGATCCACCCGCCTCGGCCTCACAATGTGCCGGGATGACAGGTGTGAGCCACCCTGCCTGGCCTGAAAGATGGACATTTTTATATTGTCAGACTATAGGTGTCTCTTTAATTTCTGCCTCTTACTTTTACTGTAATACCATATCCCTGTAATCTCCAGTACTCCAATCCAAGAAACTTCTGTCTTCTCTATCTAAGAGAGGAACGTGCTCTGAGTTTCTTTGTTTATTAAGGAATTATTATGTTGAGCTGCTATTTTAGGGAGATAAGACAGAAACGTAAACAACTTATCTGATCTTTCAGTGACATTTGACTTAGTGCATCACTCCCTCCTTGAAATGGTCCTTCCCTTGTTCTGGGACTCTTGCTTTCCTGGTCTCCTGCCTGCCTCTCCAGCTGCCTGACTTTCTTCTCCTTTGCTGAGTGTTCTAGACCCTTCAGTGGAGGAACCTCAAGGCTTCATCTCGGTCGTTCCTAGCCTGGCAGTGTACTCATCTTCTGTGCCCAGTTCCATTTCTGGCCTTAAAATGCTTGTCATTTCTAGCTTTCTTGACTGCTAAAAGTTAAGGGCTTCTAGTTATATTTCCTCATTTTATTCTTTTGCTGCCTGCTTCCTTCCTGGTGCTTTCTGATGAACTCTGTGCAAATCTCCTAATCTTTTCACTTTTCTGTTTAACCTCTAGCTAGCTTCGTCAACCTAGTTCTCAGCCGTGAATGCGCATCAGAATCATATGTGGGGGGAAAAAAAAGAGAATCATGTGTAAAGTGTGCAGTTCCTCAAAGGGTTAAACATAGATTTACCCTGTGGCTCAGCAATTATACTCCTAGGTATATATCCAAGAGAGCTGAAAATATGTATTGACACAAAAACAGGCACATGAATGTTCAAAACAGCATTATTCATAATAGAAAGTGTACACAGCCCAATGTTGTTGGAGTAAACTGGTGAGTAAATAAAATACGTTATATCCGTACAGTGGAATTTAATTCTATCATTAAAAAAAATTAATACGTCCATGGATTGGATGAATGTACTGATGTACATACAATGTGGATGTACCTTGAAAATTTGTGCTAAGTGAAAGAAGTCAGTCACAAAAAACTCCACATTATATGATTCTGTGTACGTGAAATGCCCAGAGCAGGCACTTTTTTTTTGAAATGGGTTTCACTCTTGTTGCCCAGGCTGGAGTGCAATGAATGATGTGATCTTGGCTCACTGCAATCTCTGCCTCTCGGGTTCAAGTGATTCTGCTGCCTCAGCTTCCCAAGCAGCTGGGATTACAGACATGTGCCATCATGCCCAGCTCATTTTGTATTTTTAGTGGAGACGAGGTTTCTCCATGTTGGTCAGGGTGGTCTCAATCTCTTGACCTTGTGATCCACCTGTCTCGGCCTCCCAAAGTGCTGGGATTACAGCTGTGAGCCACTGAGCCTGGTTGAGCGGGCACTTTTTTTTTTTTTTTTTTTGAGACATGTCTCGCTCTGTCACCCAGCCTGGAATGCAATGGCATGATCTCGACTCATTGCAACCTCTGCCTCTTGGTTTCAAGCAGTTCTCCTCCCACAGCCTCCTGAGTAGCTGGGTTTACAGGTGTGTGCCACCACACCTGACTAGTTTTTGTATTTTTAGTAGAGACAGGGTTTCACCATGTTGGTCCGGTTGGTCTCGAACTCCTGACCTCATGATCCACCTGCCTCCGCCTCCCAAAGTGCTGGGATTACAGGCATGAGCCACTGCCATCTGGCTGAGTAGGCACTTCTGTAGAAACAAAAATAAATTAGTGGTTGCCTAAAGCTAGAGGGAGGGGACAAATGAGGAGTGACTACAGGGTTTTTTTTTTTTGGAGATATGAAAATGTTCCATAATTGTGGAGATGTTTACACAACTCTTTGAATATGCTGAAATCATTGAATTGTACACAAGGGTAAGCTGCATGATATGTGAACTGCATCACAGTAAAGTTCTTACAAAAAAGGAAAGAATCATATGTGGAACTTTTAAAAAATTTGGTGCCTGAGCCTAACCTGCCTTCCCTCCCCCAACTCATGTGCTAAATACTCTGATTCATTTGGAGCTCCACATAGATGGGTGACAGTGTGAGTTGACAGTCACTCCCTTCATTGGGACTTGTCTCATCCCATGCTGTTTCTCCCCCCTCCCCGCCTTGTTTTGTTTTTAAAGATGGGGTTTCACCATATTGGTCAGGCTGGTCTTGAACTCCCAACCTCAGGTACTCCTCCCGCCTTGGCCTCCAAAGTGCTTGGATTACACTTTGGGCATGAGCCACCACGCCCGGCCTCCCCGTTTTTTTTTGTTTGTTTGTTTGTTTTTTTGTTTTTTTTTTTTTTGAGACAAAAATCTCACCCTGTCATCCAGGCTGTAGTCCAATGGCACAATCTCTGCCTCAGCCTCTGAAGAAGGGGCTACAGGCATGTGCCACCATGCCCAGCTAATTTTTGTATTTTTAGTAGAGATGGGTTTCCCCATATTGGCCAGGTGTTCTCGAACTCCTGACCTCAAGTGATATACCCACCTCAGGCTCCCAAAGTGTTGGGATTACAGGCGTGAGCCACCGCGCCTGTTCCCAAACTTTTTATATTCATCTGCTTGGTGAAGTTTTCGTCTGCATGTCCCACAGACACCAGTAAGATCAGAATTGAACTGAACATTATTTTCTTCTAAATTTCCCTCCATCCTAACCCTCCACTTCTAGCTCAGTTAACAATTCCAGCCTGCATCCATGATAAATCAGAGCCCTAGAAATGTAGGTGTCATCTAGCTGCTTCTTTCTTCTTCACTCCCCAAGAACTGGATAGGATTGGTGATCAGTCATCAGTCTTATTTGGTCTACCTGTCTTTGAACTTTGTCTCTTTTTTTGGTCCCTGCCTTGGTTGGGTACTCATCATCTCTTGCATGACTACGTCCATAGACACATTACAGGTCTCTTTCCCTCTGTCCACTCATTCATATTCCTTATTCCTGCCAACGTGATCTTGTTCATAGTTAACTCTATTAACAGTTTCCCTGCCCAGAGTTTTCTAATGGCTGAGGGCAAAAAAAATCTAAAGTTTTATTGTGGCATAAAAAGCTCTCTTTTTCTTTTTTTGAAACAGTTTTGCTCTTATTGCCCAGGCTGGAGTGCAATGGTGTGATCTCAACTCACTGCAACCTCTACCGCCTGGATTCAAGCGATTCTCCTGCCTTAACCTCCTGAGTAGCTGACATTATAGGTGCTCACAACCATGCCCAGCTACTTTTTGTATTTTTAGTAGAGACAGCATTTCGCCATGTTGGCCAGGCTGGTCTCGAACTCGTGACCTCAGGTGATCCACCTGCCTCGGCCTCCCAAAGTGCTGGGATTACAGACATGAGCGACCACACCCAGCCTAAAAGGCTGTCCTTGAATGGCCTCTACCATCTGCTCTTCAGGGATGATGGTGAGATCCTTTCAATGACTGCCAGTTGCTCTGAGGATAAAATCTAAATGTCTTAGGCCAGGCCCCGTGGCTCACACCTGTAATCCCAGCACTTTGGGAGGCCAAGGCAGGCAAGTCACTTGAGACCAAGAGTTTGAGACCAGCTGGCCAACATGGTGAAACCCTGTCTCTATTGAAAATACAAAAAAATTAGCCAGGTGTAGTGGCATGCACCTGTAATCCCAGATACTTGGAAGGCTGAGATGAGAGAATTGCTTGAACCTGGGAGTTAGAGGCATTGGTTGCAGTGAGCTGAGATTGTGCCAATGTACTCCAGCCTGGGCGACAGAGCAAGACTCCATTTAAAAAAAAAAAAGGAAATCTAAATGTCTTGCATGACACAACAGTCACTCCTGATGCGTTCTCTGCCCACCTTCCCAGCCTCACCCCTTGTCTATACATCCTCACACCCGTACATACACGTACCTTTTCAATACCATAGCACTCGTTCAGACTCCTCCTGCACCTGAAGCACCCTTCTTTATTCTTCTAGTCTGTGTGATTAATTCCTGTGTTAATTCTCAAGGATGGGCTCAAGCTCTATCCTCTTTCCCCTCTCTAATACCGCCTGTTGAGTTACACACTGCTTTCCAGGGCAAACAGCAGCTTGACAACTTGTGCAAGCTTCTTGCACAAGCTTCTATTGAAGGTACTTTCTAGATTGCCTTAGATAGGCTTATTATGTATATTTTCCCCTGGACCAGAGGAAGTCATGATTTCTGAATTAAATGGCTGGCTAGCTGCTCAACTTCTCTGGGCTTCACTGAGGGGTAATAAGAGCATCTGTTTCATGCAGGTGATTATGAAAACTGAATGAGGGCATCCATGTAAACCATTTAAACTGTGCCTCATGTGTTCTAAGTATGAGTTAAAATGTCAGCTATTATTGATATTTTCAGTGCTAATATAATCCCTGTATTCAGGGCTTAGTACAGGCCTGGCGCATAATAGACTTTGAAATACTCAAGAATGTTAATAAGAACAGCAAATTAGCATAAATTGAAAAAATGAAAATAGACTTGTTTTTCAGAATTAGATCTAATAATGACTTTTATTATTTTAGTGAAAATCTGGAAATTTAATAAAGCTAAACCAGAGCCTGATATACTTGAAGAAGAAAAAATCTGTGCTTACCCCAGCAATATTACCTCGGAGACTGGATTCAGGTAAGATTTAGGTGAGAAATAAAATAATTGAGTTTTTTCCCTTAGAAAGCTAGAAACAGAAACCATTCTGATGCTTAGAATTTATGACCCTGTATTTGTACTTTCACAATTGTTTGATCTGTTTATTTCTTCTTTTTTTTTTTTTTTTTTTTTTTTTTT